GGTGTCGATTCGGCCCGCGGCTATGTCTAGTATTGATGGATATTTGATAGTGATGAATATTTCCAAGGAATATTCAACCAATCACATCAGCCAAAAATCCTAGAGAACAAGGAAAAAAATGAAAAAGAGCTCTCCCGTAAAAGGTTTACGAAAAACATCAAATTGCCCCCTTCCCCCCATTAGAAATGTTATTTTGCACGCGCCACGCGCTAAACACTGCATCATCACGTCACCTAAACACTATCCTCTTTACGCGCCGCCTTATAATTTTCCACCCGCTAACTTCTCTTTCCGGCTCATCTAACACTCGGTGGCACCATTTATTCAAACACGTTCGGTCGCCGGAAAATTACTCCTCAGTTTTTCGCCTTCCGTCGCGTCCTTTGTCCACGTCTCCGAGCATGGGATCCCTCACCGCCTTTGACGAGATTCTGCAGTATCCCGTCGCTCGCAGGGACGAGTCTGTGGTCGATAATTATCACGGCGTCTCGGTCCCTGACGCTTATCGATGGTAATAGCTTGAAGTATTGCGTCGAGAAAAATCTATCTGCATTTTGCTCGCAAAAGAATTTGAAATGTAATTGAGAAAGAAATTAGGAAAAAAAAAAAACCTCCTGAAATCTTACATGTGTAATCTCGATCCAGTGACATCAAATTGTTGGCACCATGGTTTGAATATTTGTTCCAGTTTTCCTTAATCAGTATTATGAAATAATAATTGTTTTCTGCCATAGATTGTGATGATTTCATTGATATGTTCAGGCTTGAGGACCCTGATTCTGAAGAGACAAAAGATTTTGTTGAGAAGCAGACGAGATTGACTGATTCAGTGCTCGAAACCTGCGAAACCAGGGACAAGCTTCGTGAGAAGCTTACAAAGTTGTATGATTTCCCAAAGTTTAATGCTCCATTTAGGGCTGGTGAAAAGTACTTTTACTTCCATAACACTGGTCTACAACCACAGACGGTCCTTTATGTTCAGGTTCTCTGCCATGGTTTTAGCTTGTGCTCGGTCAAGATTTTAGCTTTCTTAGTTTATTAGAATTTAACTGTTGATGAATATTGAGATTTTTTTGGTATTCACATTGCAGGATAGCTTGGATGGGAAACCTGAGGTTTTGCTTGATCCAAACACTCTAAGTGAGGATGGAACAGTGGCATTGAGTGCATATGCTGTTAGCGAGGATGCAAAATACTTGGCATATGGAACGAGTTCGAGTGGAAGTGATTGGGTCACCATTAATGTTATGCGTGTTGATGATAAAAGTACTGAGCCTGATACCATTTCATGGGTAAGTTCTATGAAGCATGAGATATTGTCTGTGTGCATTTGTAATTTTTTTTTTGGAAGTTTTAATCATGGGCATGGAGTTTTTCCAGATATGTGTAAAAGGAGTGTGAAATATTGTTGTTAATTCACAGGTTAAGTTTTCGAGCATCAGTTGGACTCATGACAGCAAGGGATTTTTCTACAGCCGTTATCCAGCTCCCGAGTAAGTGATAGTTTCATATCATAATCCTGCCTGGCATTCCTTGAACTGTTCCATGATCATTAATTTGTCTTCGGGTGATGGTGCCTGGTTCTCGATTGAAAGATGATATCTCCAATATTAACATTTTTCCTTGCTATGATTCAGTTATGATTTTTATGAATTGTGCATTATAGATATTCATTTGCATCTTTCTTATAATTGATATCTTTGTATATTCATGTTGGGATTATTATCTGTTAAAGGAATGGAGAGAAGATGGATGCAGGCACTGAGACCCATGCCAATCTAAACCACGAAATCTATTATCATTTTTTGGGTACTGATCAATCTGAAGATATCTTATGTTGGAGTGACCCAGAAAATCCTAAGCATACACGTTCTGCTTCGGTCACGGAAGATGGCAAGGTACTAAAATCTCTCCATATAATATTTGCGGAGACTGCATTTGGTTTTCAATTACCGATTTTGGTTTGGTCTATTGCAACTGCGGTTTACGTGTTTGATTCCATGATGAGTTACGAATAATTATATAAAAAGATATGATCTTCCACAAAATTCAAAAGTATTCATGCTCACTCAAAAAAGGGAAGAAATTAGAGATGTATTTGTAAAATAATGTTATTCCTATATTTTGGCTTTTAACAAACTATGGTTTTAATTTTTCATTTTTGAGTTATGTTTTTTTGTGTTACGCTACTCTAGTTTTACCAGGAAGGTTGATCCAAGAACATGTAGCATAAATTGATCATTTATGTGATAATTGGCTTAGAAAGTAATACATGTCAAGTACAAGAAGTACGATGAACGTCGGTTGGGCTTGAATCTGGTATTGAAGCGAAGTAAGATTAAATTTCACATCCAGAGTTCTCTTATTGTATATAGTTACAACAGAACAGGATTCCTGTGTTTTATTTCTTAAATATGTGCAAATATGTGTATATGCTCACATACTCTCTACTTTGTGTCGAAATTTCCTTGTACTTGAACCTGACTAGTGTCCAATGTAGCATCAATTAACACCTGTCCTTTACTATTTTGAAATTTGCAGTATGTTCTTCTATATATCGATGAAAACTGTGACCCCGTCAACAAGGTCTATTACTTTGACCTATCATTGCTCCCCGAAGGGCTTGAAGGTTATAAAGGGGCAAAAGAATTCCTTCCTTTTGTCAAGCTTGTCGACACATTTGAAGCTTCCTATCACTATGTTGCCAATGATGATACAGTTTTCACCTTCCTCACCAATAAAGATGCTCCAAGAAACAAACTTGTCCGGGTTGACCTAAAAGAACCAACTTCGTGGGTTGATGTCCTTGAAGAAGATGAAAAGGATGTCCTTGAATCTGCTACAGCTGTAAATGGAAACCGAATTGTGGTTAACTATTTGAGTGATGTGAAAAATGTTCTGCAAGTAAGAGATTTAAAGACTGGTAAACTTTTGCACAAATTACCACTTGAAATTGGAGCTGTATCCGAGATATCTACTCGACGCAAAGACAAAGTGGTCTTTGTTGGGTTCACAAGCTTCCTTGTCCCAGGCATTATATATACGTGCAACCTGGAAGGTGATGAACCAGATATAAGAATCTTTCGTGAAATTGTGGTTCCTGGGTTTGACAGGACTGAGTTTGAGGCCAACCAGGTTAGACTTATTTTTTGAAAATTCAACATGGAGCGAGTCTTCATGTTCTGCTAAGTCCATTTATATGAAGAATATTATATTCTGGCTATCATTTATTATTATTTAAAGTAGATCATTTTTTCAATATGCTCTGCTGCACATATCACTTCACGCGACAACTACAGATTTTTTCCATAGAGTTCAGATGGTTGGGTTGCGGCGTTCAATCATTTTCAGTAGGATTTTGAGTCACTTTGTGTAAAGTAGTGATTTATCAATATACACTTTGTCTTAGTGGCGGTTTTATGGAGTTGTAGTTGTGGATATTTGCTTCTGGGCTCTTTTACATAGGTCTTGTTATGTGTACCAGTGACCTTGGTGGTTTTGTGTCGACTGCTCAAAAACGTGTGTGAGGAGGTCCAGAAATATGGTGTTCATCTTTCGTTACCCCCATGGGTTTACATGTCTGTATAGAATGAAAGTCGGCTGATGATTTTCTTGAATAATTGTCGAAAGATGGAGGTTTTATAATTTGAAGCAGTCAAGCAGCTGCTTCACACACCTGTTCTATGAGTAGATGGTAGATCCACTGTACTGAGAATTGATATATGGCTTTCTTATTTACTTTAATTACATGAGTAATAGTAAATATTAAAATCTGACCATACAAGAGAAGAATATAACAAGAAAAAACAGTGATCTTGCCTAATACAGGTTCAGGAGGGTGCTTCTGTTTTTTATTTTAAAAAAATTGTTTTGGTATTATACTCTATGTTTTGACTGAGCCACTCCTTATATGCTTGTTCAGGTGTTTGTACCCAGTAAAGATGGCACTAAAATCCCATTGTTTATAGTGGCTAGAAAGGGTCTTAGCCTAGATGGATCCCACCCCTGTTTACTTTATGGATATGGTGGATTTAATATTAGCATCACTCCATATTTTGCTGCTAGTCGTATTCTGATTGCAAAGCATTTAGATGCTGTCTTCTGCATTGCGAACATACGCGGGGGAGGAGAGTATGGAGAAGAATGGCATAAAGCTGGTTCTCTTTCAAAGAAGCAGAATTGTTTTGATGATTTTATATCAGCAGCCGAGTATCTTGTCTCTGCTGGTTACACTCAGCCTAAGAAGCTGTGTATTGAAGGCGGTAGTAACGGTGGGCTTCTTGTTGGGGCTTGTATTAATCAGGTAGCAATCCATGTTTTATTTTTTGTGCACTTGTATCTGAAATTGTTCTTGTTTTTTTATTTTTTGAGGTAATAATTATATTTGGAAATTTTGTGATTGTAGAGACCTGATCTTTTCGGCTGTGCACTTGCACATGTTGGTGTTATGGACATGCTGAGGTTTCACAAGTTCACCATTGGTGAGGGTTTATTCTTTTTGTTTAGGGAATATCTTTTCCATTAGATGTTTTGATATGGCATGAAGTGTTGTTTGTCATGTACTCTTTTGAAACTAGGTCATGCATGGACCTCGGATTATGGCTGTTCAGAGAAGGAGGAAGAGTTCAATTGGCTATTCAAGTGAGATATTTTTCTTATGTTGCTATTAGGAATCATCTTCCAATGCTTATCTGACTAGATTAACACATGAATTCTGCTTTAGTCATATTTGATGACTTATCTGTCATTCTTCATTTGGTTCGAAAGAATCACCCCAAACCTTTTTTTTTGTGCCTTTTCTGTTTATTCTTTTGTTCTGGGACCCTGCAATTTTTACTTTGACAATCACATAAATACATATTGTGAGCTAATTCTCACATTGTGTCCATTTCAACCTATTAGGTACTCGCCTCTCCATAATGTTAGGAGACCTTGGGAAAATCATTCTCATAAGGACACTCAGTACCCATCCACTATGTTGTTGACTGCTGACCACGATGATCGTGTTGTCCCACTTCACTCCCTCAAGTTATTGGCGGTGGGTTGTCTCTCTCTCTAATAAATTTATTCATTTTCCGGTATATACCAAAAAGGACTGAATGAACATTAAAAAAAGGAATAAATATACGAGTCGGCTGGCTTATATTTCATTGCTTGTAGACATTGCAATATGTATTATGCACGAGCTTGGAGAAAAGCCCTCAAAGGAACCCGATTATCGGGCGTATAGAGCAGAAGGCAGGTCATGGAGCTGGAATGCCAACCCAGAAAATTGTGAGTGGCGTGCAAAAATTGTCTTATTATTTTTTTCCCTTTGTCTTCAAGATCAATTGTGTTTTATGGAAAATAACTTGGGTGGACCGTATGTAGATTGATGAAGCTGCTGATAGATATGCATTCATGGCGAAGGTGGTAAATGCCACCTGGAGTGATTAGAGGTGTCTACAATGAGCATTTATGAAATTGGTGGTGAGTCGCAGCATTTCCGATGGTGTTATCTGATTTGATCTGGATTTTTAGGATGAGAAACAGATGCTTCTTTATCACAAATTGACCTGAGAAAAACTACTACTCTTTCTCAAGTTATCAGCACAACTTATTTTATGTGTTTGTTTCTGTGAAAAATATTTGTGAATCTGTGATGATCATATATTCTTGTTCAAATGCATGCGGCTAAATTTTTTTTGACTTCTCTCTGACATTGCATGTGTTCTCCGTCAGATTAGAAGATTTCGTTTCTGCCTGCTTGAATTTGATTTTAAATCGCTGTAATTTTAGAATGTTCGTGAAAAAGAGATCCGACACAAAAGAAAAGCAGAACTGATAAATAATTTTATAGTTGTGAAGCCTACTGATCAAAATCAGTTAGTTTTGGCCTCCTTGTTACCCCCTTTTTTTTTATCCCAGTACACCAAATGCTCAATTTTATATTCCTATGAGGATACATGATTTCGGATTCATATATCTCATTCGTCCCACCAAATGGCGCGATTATTAATTGAGCTCTGGCTTTCATCTCTTGGAAAAAATCACCACATTCGTTGTAGGCCATGTTTGGGAATGGGAATCTGTGTGATATTTCATTTCAACTGTGTAATTGGTTTTCGGGTTAGGGTTTTTGTTGGCTAAGCCATTCTCGACCCATAAGGAAGATGAGAAATATACAATACTGCCTCGATACATTTCTTCTCCATACAATCTTCCTTAAACCAGTCCCAACTCAGGAAAACTATCAGAAAACAGTGGGAGATTGTTGATGGTAAGATGGTGGCACTTTATTGTGTTCTTTTCTTCACATGATATAAGTTCAAGTTTTTTTTTCTTTCCTCCACTTCCCCACTTAATTTATCGATGTAATTTACCTCGAACTTTCAAGAAACTCAACTAATAGAACTCACCAGCAAATGGAACCCGCCGAAATTTTTAGTTTACTTTCTTCTTTGCTTAGGTTGATTTTGAGAAAAATGTATAAACATCATACTCGAGTTGTCTTGCTCCACGACGAATTGAGAATTTCATCAAGCGTATACTACGGCTAATATAAGCATAAAATCAAACTTATTTATAAATAAAGAATTTCATGTCAATAACTCAGAATGTATATTTATTTGAGTAGCACCAATCATATTGATGAAATTTGGCAATATTATTACATGAGCACACTAAAACAAGCACAGATTTCATGGTACCCATGATATTTCTTGAGGTTTTTATTCTTCATCATCTATTGATAGTCTATAGAGCTCATAATCCACAACAAAAGCTACATTGTAATATGTCTGTATCACAAAGATGAGCTAAAGCGGTTAAGAGTTACGATTCCAGAGAGCACGGCCTTGTTTCGTTCCTTGACCTTCACCTCATACAATATTCTGCAAAACCACCCTTTTTCTTGTAAGCTGGTAAAAAATAATATCAGAAAGCAGAGTTTAGTAATCCTACCTCAAGCCTTCAAGCCACATTTGGGTTACTAAGGTTTCCCCTGGATAGACGTGCAGCAAAAATCTACCTGATATGTTCACTATCATGCTTTGGTCTCCTCGACAGATGCTTTTTATGATGGCTCTGACTGCAAACCCCAGGGTGCAAAGCCCGTGCAATATTGGACGAGAAAATCTACACGAAATTATTGAAACTAAACAAACATCAATAAAATGAGAGGAGGAACACGAAGAGAGAAAAAAAAAAAAAAATAGAAATATGTTTGAGTTTGAAGAAGAAAATTCAAAATACCCAGCTACTTCTGCAACCGTAGGATCTGAGTGTAATGGGTTGTAATCACCAGATAGCCTGTAAAGCAATGCCTGGATCACAATACATATTAAAAATTTTAAAGTAACCATTAAAGTTTAGATGCAATTACGAAGGAAGGATCTAAGGTAATTAAATTTTACTAAATCCCTTCAAAGTTGAGAACTAGTTCAACTAACAAGAGGGGCCCTCAAGTTAACTTTTAAAGATTAAAAAAAAAAAAAAAAAATTGGAGAAAAAACCAACTACCGTACCACTTCAAACTTCTCTTTATTGAAATTAAATGACGGCAGGAAGCATGGTAGCATGATCCCTTATGAAAAGGTATTCTCATTGACTTATGCTAGGGTAACCATATACATTTTCTAGAAACCGTGTTTGATTATCATGCATCCATTTGTTAATTCCACCATGATTTCACAATAACCATATCCGACTGTCACACATACCTGAGACGGTTGTGTGCTTTCTTCATAGATAGCAAATGGTTGACTTTTGGGAATTTTATAAACCACGGACAGACTGGGGGAATACTTGGTATGAGAGTAGGGCTGGGATGATTTTGAGAAGCCACCAGCACCTCTCAAATAAACCGCCAACCTATGAACCAATATAAAGATTTATCAACTCGAGGGAACATATGTGAAAAGAGAATAAAAATGCATAAAATACATTTGCATGGATGCATGAATGTTAACTTACCTGTTCATGCAGAGCAGCACACCAGAGTCTTTTTCGTAAGTTGAAACTTCAATCTCTAGAACAGCTGCTTTACCTGGGAAAACAAGGCATTATGAATACATCAAATACATTTGGGCATCATTTACCTGAAACTGAATGTTATGCAAAAACAAAACATATCATGAACAGAATAGTCATTAACCACAGAAGACATTAATATACTGAGATATTTTGATCAAATATCGTAGTAAGAGTTTCTATTTTAATGCCCATCTAAATTAAGGTAAATATTAAAAGTCGACAATCATGTTTTTCTCCAGGCATATTCTGTTAGTATAGCCAATGACTAACATATATTTATACTGTGCCTAGACATGTTTTCAACTTACAACTTATACAATCCAGCAACACTTTTATCATGCATACCTTTATCATAGGAAGCCAACTTATACAATATACAGAACTAAAATAGCAATCAAGATCAATATAGGAAGCATACCTTTATCATGCAATCCAGCTACACTTGCCTTATTTATCAGCTGAACCAACAAAATCATCATACGAACTGATTAACTCATTTGAACAGAAAAACAAAATGGATAAACAAACGGAAGACACAAAGACCACTACATGCTGAAGAAGGAACTTACAGAACCACTAGGAGGAAGCGGTTTGTATATCTCGATGTACTGTTGACCATGTAACATAAGACGCGGATCAAATCTGGAGATTTAACAACCCACAAAGATTCTTTCTCAGAAAACAAGACAACCAAGATTAGTTTACCAAACAACATGCATACAAAAAAATATCTAAATGCACAAGGGGAAAACAGTAGAATTACTAACTCTAAACCCGGTAACTGTGCGAGCTGTGACTGAATTTCCAAAGAAAATAACGCAGCGAAAGTTGGCAAGACCTGCAGACATATACAAAATGTAAGTAATTTAAGTCCACGCTTCATCATGTATACACTTCAATGCGCATATGATTAACTTCCACACCCGGTTGAGGGAATTGAAAAAAAGAAGCTAATAATTACGTCCCAACAATTATTACAAGCAGTGCAAAACATCGTTATCATTATTCCAAAAAGCTCGAATATATCATCAAATTCACCAAACCAGGCAATCACAAAATCTCAACTACTGAGAAAATTATGTGATAGATACATCTGAAATTCAAAGGATGGTATTCTGATCTTCCAAAGCAAGCTTGAAACCAGGCAAAAATTGTCAATACAGGAGAACGAGAAAAATGAAAAATAAAAAAATAAAAAAATCTTAATTACCTGAATAGCTAGCTGTCCATCTTGATGGTAAACATATTTCAGCTCTTTATCGTCAACCGCATCTTTCGTACAAGCTCCAACACCAAGTGCATATAGTGCAGCGTCCCTGTTCGTCGAGCAAAACTAGCTACCCATGTTACCTTTTTAACCTAAGCTATTGAATTATACGAATAACATGAAATTTGTAGAACATAAACAGAAATTGAAGTTCTCTAACCTTTCGGTGTAAGTATACGTCGACTGGTACCAATAATTCATCAGAAAAGGAAACAAAGATCAAAATCAGGATACAAAAATGGCTGAATCGAAGTAAACCAACATAAGTGAAGGAGAAACGGAAAAGGTTAACAGAGTAAAGGCAAGTTTACCTGGGGAAATTCGTGAGATATGACGAGCTGAGGATCAAACTCTGGTTTACCAGCCATGGATGATTCGGAGATAG